AATAAGATCTTCAATCAATTATAAGATTTAATAAAATAAATCCACTTAAGCTCTCAAATATATCTTTTTATAGAGCTGAAAATTACTGCAAAATTTAAGAATTTGTATTAGAATATTTCTGAGAATAAAATAACATTTTAATTATAATTCATAACTTTTAATTACTTTTAAATCAATTGCATGCTCATATTAACGCTTAATACATAGTAAATTGGAGACTCATCAAGTCAAAAGATCCTCCCCTTATAGGGTCAAGATTATTTTACACTGATGTAAGTTACACTCTCAATCTTATTTGTTGATCCTATTTATATCTAATGGTTCCTATTTATTAGAATTTTGAGTTCGTTAGATTAAAGCAAATCAATCATTAAGATTAGGTGTAAGACTTTTTATTCTTATACCCTATATAGGAATATTCTGCCCACACACAAACACATACACACACACATATATGGGAGAGATCTTTTTTGACTTCGGTGTAAGACTTAGGAGTCCAAGATTAAGAGTGTAATATGTATATATAGGACAATTAAATGTGGGTGATCGCATTTAAATTTTTTGTAGTTGCTGTATGTGCAACAATTAAATTTGAGGAATTATAATCATACAAAGGTGGGTGATCACATTAAATGTGGGGAATCGTAACCAATCAACGGTTTAAATTTAATTTTTGTACGTACAACAGCTGTATAAATGATTTTACCCTATATATATACGTGTGTATGTATATATATATATAGGGTTTGCTTTTTCTACAGTCAATGTAGATAATTTATCTACAGTGAGCTCAAAACGATGTCGTTTTGAGGCAGAAATTAAGGTATTTTTGTAATTATAATTTATTTCAGGGTTATAATAGTCTTTTTCATTATAATTTTTTAATTTTTCAACCCAAAACGACGTCGTTTTGGGAGCGAATGTAGATAACTTATTTACATTCAAATGATATAATATAATATGCATCCTTAAATCAATGGTAAGATGGAAAAAAGAAAACTAAACCACTATGCCACAAAAAATTAAAAAATATGCAATTCCGTCCAATTAATATTTAAAATAAAGAAATTTATATTTTATAAATTAATTATAATCTTTGTCGTTTGAATAAAATATTATTCTTTATTCACTTATGGTATTTCATTTATATTGGCATAAAATTTCAAAAATAAAGGTAGATAGGACGTGATGTCGAAATTTCAGATTTTTTTTAATTTCAAAATTCCTCTCTTATCATCTATCATCTCTCGTTTATATCATCTATCATGTATCATAACAAATTAGGACTTCAACGTGGAATGATAATTAAGAAAATATTTTTAACTGAGTTATATTTCTTTGCTATTATCATTATGAAGTCTTTCATTTCGCGCCCTTCTGTAAAAAAATTTCATATTCCCTCCTCTTTAAATTTTTTTTCCCACTTTTGTAATTTTTCACCCTCAATAACTTCTCCGCCTCCCTCTCCCCCAGCACGTCCTCATCTTATTCAAATTGTTTCCCCACTTCATCAGTTTGATAGTCGTGTTCTTCTTTGGTAACAAATCTTCCAGCAATTTTAGAAGAATTTGAAGTCTCTCTCATTCAATTTAATTTCCAGTTCAAGTTCACGTAGCTGTCTCTGATTATGCAAAGTTACTTTCCATTTTCACATGAAAACATAAAAATGACCATGACAGGTATTTATTTTCTACCCTTTTCGTTTGTTTGATAAAGTTTTTTGTGAAAAAAGATTGTAGGAACCCTTTGTGGTCGTCTTTTTCATGTAATTCAGCAAAAAGTTTGAACTTTCCATATGTTTATTATTTTCATTTTTCTTGTCCAATTTACTTTATTTGATAAATAGCCATCTAATATATTTAAAATCAGAAGAAACCAAAAAAGTTTGATTAACCAAAAAACCAAAGGAAAATGTACATTGAAGGGACTTAAATAAGTGAGCCTCGATTCTATGTAAGAAATTAAAAATTTAAGATTAGGAAATCAACAAAACATGACACTGATTTAAAGCATGAGCTTTTTTGTTAAAAAAGTAGTAATGTCGTTATGGGACTGGGTACGTGAAACCTAAATATTTTTCATAAATTTTTATTTTAATACTGTAATTATTACTCTCAGAAAATTCATAAAAAATTGCCACTTATTTTGTTGAGTTTGAAAACAAAAATAGAAAATCTAATAAAAGTCTTAAAACTAGTCTAAAAAAATAATTGTGTTCAAAAGTTAATTGTATTTTCTCTTCAATTTACTTCGGTGGTAACAATTACATCTATTGTATCTACCATAAATTTGAGATAACCTCTAAGGATTATAGAAACTTGAATGGTAGATCTATAAATGGTTGAAATATTTAACTAAAAGCTACTGTGAGTTTGTAATATTTAGGTATTTTTATTTATTTGATATTGAATTAAATTTAAATGATAACTAATGTAATTTTTATAATTTTAAGATGATTTCTTGAAGCATATGATTGATCGTGACAATTCATTGGTGGCTGGGGTAAAGACACCCATTTGCCAATCTAATGATCTGTTATTCTAGCAAGTTGTTGGTGGTATGCACAAGAAAGGTTGAATATATGGTTCCGATGTAAAGGCGATGAATTATAAGTCTGTGCATATTTTTGTCAACTCGTTAGGAGTCTCCATATATGAGTATAATCGTATGATAAGAGACTTGGTCACCAGCTTATCCAACCAGAATGAGCAGTTACAATAGAAATATGAGAACATGTAGCAACAAATTACTGTTACGAAAAAGCAAATAGACCGGCGATTATTGTAGGATTATATTTTCTTCTCTTATTTTAATTTGTGAATATTACTTATTATCTCATACATTTATTATTTTTCATGAATTCGCGTTAAAACTTATTATATTATAGTGATTGGATTTGATTTGGTATCTCATTTTCATTTAGTATTAGCTATTTCATATTCTGTGTTGGTTGAATTTGCTATAGAATTATTGGATGATAAGAAACATTAGGTTTTAATAATAATAAAAAATTTCAATGTAACTTATTTTGAAAAAAATCAAATATTAGGGATGGAAAATAGAGATAGAAATATTCGTCATCAATTGGGATGGAAAACATTCTCACTAATAGAGATAGAAAAAATCCATTACTAATAGAGACAGAAAAAGTTCTATCACTAACAAAGACAAAAGCGATCCATCACTAACAGAGATGAAAATTATCTGTCACTAACAAAGATGAAAAAATATATGTCATTAATAGAGAGGGAAAAAATCTGTCACTACCAGAGACAGACAACTTTCGTCCCTGATAGATACGGATTAGGCATATTTCAAGTGCATAAATTAGTGACGGAATAATATCACAGGGACAGATTTATCCATCACTATCAGGGAGGAAAATATGTTTGTCTCTGATAGTGACAGAATTTGTTCCGTCTCAGATAGAGACCGATTTGTTTCGTCCTAAAATTCGTGTCTATTAGAGACAGATTCATAATTCTGTCTCAACCTGTTAGTGACGAGCCATAATGTAACGGATTTTTGTCCGTCCCTAATTCTGTCACTAGTTTATTTAGTGACAGAAATATTTCACTCAGTGACAGAATTATTCCGTCTCTAATTAATGTTTTTTTAGTAGTGTGGTGTCATAGAGCCTCTTTCAAAGGAGGAGATATTTTATACCCTGCCCTCATTTTATGGGAAGTTTTCTTTATATTATATTATTTTATTTCATATTAAAATCATTATTTAGTTAGTATAAAAATATTTTTAATAATAAATTTATATTATGACTATCTTTACAGCTTTATACGTATCAAATAATAACTTGAGTGTATATAATAAATTGTATATCTAATTAACAACTCGGAGAGATTCTTACGAATTATATTATTCTACTAAAAATGTATGACGTGACATTAAGTAATTATACAAACTTTTAAATCAAAAGTAAAATATTACTAAATTAAAACTCAGTTGGAAGTATTTTAAAATTAATTTCTCGACCGTAATAAATTGCCATCGCCCTTGGTCCTTAATATCTTCGGGCCTGGTTCGGTCCAGAAATCACTTGTTTTCAATCCATCGTGAATATTTTTTTGTAGTTATATCTTTTTTACAAAGTATCAATCGAACCCAAGCATAAACTACCCATATCATCATCAGATGGCCAGTTGTTGAAATAATCGAAACTTGGCAAACCGAACATGTTTGTGCTACGCCACTTTTTATACTATTTTGCCCCTACACAATTAGATTCTTGTGTATGGCCAAGACTAAGTGGATATTTGAATTTTTTAAGTTAAAAATTACTCATAAGTAAAAGTTAAGTTAAACAAATTTTGTGAAAAATTTTTTATAATGAAGAGATTTTTTTTTATAATAAAAAAAAATCAAAAGTCAAAAGCTCATAAGATAAGCTTTTTTTTTAACTCTTATCAACTTTTCTTGAATTGTATGCTTTTATTCAAATGAAGAGCTATAAAGACAAAGAGATGAACTTTTCTTAAAATGTGTGCTTTTTAAGTTAAAAATTTTATGTATAATCACCAAACAGTTTTTAACATTTTTTTGTAAACTCTATTTTTTAAACTTTAATTTAAAAGTAGTTTCTAGCTTAAAAGCTTAAAAAGAGACTGGATTGTTTCTTTTGCTCATGTTCCTAGAGCCTGTAATAGCTGTGCAAACTGGATAGCGAAAGAAGCCATTAATTCAAGCTATGATCTCTCTTTCATTGAATCTCCTCATTATGACTTGAAGCTGGTGATTACGGCTGATTGTTTGGATCTAGGAGATCCTCCTATGGTTCTTCCTCTGAGTTTTTAGTTTATGTTTTTCTCTTTTTTATTGTTGTTCATGTCTTCTTTTCTTTTCTGTTTTGCTTGGGGCTTTGCCCTATTATGTACCAAAAAAGAGAGCTCAAAAAGATAGGATCCAAACAGTTCTAAGTTTGACATAATAACAAAAAGAATTGATAAATTTTCCAGAGGATTTTAATTTCTCATTAAAGAGGAGTAGTTGTTCAATTAACAAGTGCTCAACTGAACAAAAAACGTAAAAGGAATTAAAAAAAAAAAAAACGCACTGATGACAAGACAACACATGAATGAAACATATGAGTAAAGATGATATACTAAGCTCTATAAGCAGCAATTTTAGGATAGTACTCTCGTTGAACAGCCTTCATGAGGAGGCTATCTTCTTCGAGGGCCATCTGAATTGGGATAGAGCCCAATCCATTTGCCATTGCAAGCATCATCTGCTTCGTTTCCTCTTTGAATTCTTGCATATCAACTCTCCCATTCAAATCATGATCGAATTGCACGAACAGAGACTCATAAACACGAGCAAGCTCATCAGGGTCACGCTTCACATCGATGCCAAAATGGGTCTCAAACACCCTCAGGCTTTGCAACTCCTTCAACATCTCACCGTAGGAAAGAAGACCATCCTTGTCCGTGTCAAGTTGAGCAAAAAGGTCATTCACAGACACATTGAAGGCTTCCTCGTCTTCCACGAAACTTATAATGGTGGCACCATCTAGTATTTCTACACTCATGTTTCTCAGTAACTTAAGGGGTCAATCACAAAACTAATACTAATAGAGAGGAAAGAGTAATATTGGAATTTGATGTGTTTGATGATTGATTAATGGTTTGGGATGACTCACAGCCTCACAGGTATAATATATATATAGTGAGAGAGAGGGGGGAATAGTAAGAAGTTGGTTAACACTGAAAGGAAACTGTTGTTATAGCGTTTAACAAACGTTATTCTCGAATTCTTGGCCTTCGTGGCCGTTGTCTGTTTTTCTAGTCGTAGATTTTGAATTCGAAAGTTGACTCAAAATTTTGTCGGTTAGTGGCCTCTACAAAGTTGTCTTTCTTTTGCCACAATCGAATATATATGAAAATGCTTGGGGGCATATAATAAACATTAGCAGGCACATTTGACATTCCCTAATTATGTATATAATATGATGAGTTTATCTACGTAGGATTATTCATTAAATTATTGGATAGATTATTCTAAATGTGCCAATTTACATAATTTGTGTATATATACTAAATCAACTAACAATTGACATACCGTTTATTTAAATATAAAATAATTATGAGACATTAAAATTTTTATTTCACGGGAAAATAATTATTTTTATAAGTATTTAATGTTAATTTACTCATTATGTATAATTCTTCTTTCTGACCGCGGTGTATTTTCATTTCTTTGAACTTTGGTCATTTACGTAAGATCGAGACTCGCTTATTACCACGTTAATTTTTTTTTTTTTTATTCAGTATTTATAGCTCGTGTATGCTTGTGTACACGAAGATTTATGAAATATTGCAATTGCTAGAATATCTCAGCATGGCTTTTTATATTTAAATAAAATACTGCGAAACTATTATTTTCGCTCTTGAAATTACAGAAATTTAAGGGTAGAGAGGGAAGAAGGATGGAAAAAATAATATACAGAATAATATTGTATATATGTTCATGTGATATTATGTTATACAAATAAAAAAAATACCAATACCTATTTATACTTAATCGGACCCTAAAATAAGGAAATAAATAATACATATAGAAAATAGAAAAATTAATACTAAAAGATTATGTAGAATATTCGAAGTTATATTAATAATTTTTTTAACCTAGTTAAATTCCATAATTATAATACCGATAATTCCATCATAATTTACGGTTCAATCTCATGCATATTCCTAATGTCCAACATGATAAGTGAGTTGTAGAAATCTTTTAGGATATTTTGAATTATTTTTATATATAATCTTAATATTATATAGAAAAGAGAAAAATATTTGTCATTTTAAATGATATAAAGTTATGTCATTTTAAGAGAGAGATAGACATAAAATAATATTTTTGTATTTAAAATTTAAATTAAAAAAATCACTCACTTTCCTTCCCATGATTTTCATTTCTTGTTCTATATCTCTCACAAAATGACATAACTTATATCCTTTAAAAGTACAAACATCAAACCCAAAATCCTAATATATATCGCAATTCTATCATATATCGAAAAAAAAAGAAGTTGAGATATCTTGGTCATCATGTTTTTAAACCTTCCAGAACTGACAGACTATACGTTATTTGGTAGGGCGGGGTATAAGATGCTCAAATGATTAAATGGGAGATTCTTCTTCTGGAAGAAATTAAAGTCCTAAACTAAGGTGCATTCCGTATACTCGGAGTCGGTGGGCTTCCTAAAAAACAAGGGCCCATGCATAGTTGAGCTTTCTTGGAAGTTCATCCGAGAAAAGAAAAGCATGGTCAAATTCAATGGGCGAGAGGCCGAAAAATTAGGGAGCTTTCGGTACAATTTCCGGGAAATTGATATTAGGAAACTAATTTAACCATGTTTGATGGAAGGTCTTTGAAATTTTTTGTGGAAATCTTATTTTTTCGAGATTCTAATTTGTGAACAAATTGTATAGCAAAATGATATAAAAAAATATCACGAGGAGAGAGGTATTCTTAAAATTCCGGGTGTTAGAAAAATGTGACATTTTCATATTATTTAACAATCAATCAAATATATAATCAATAAATTTGAGCAAATATTTTCATTAATATTTTTTCCTACCAAATAGCGTTTTGACTTTTGATCACATTCCTCGAAAATTTGCTTTCTCATCATATTTTTGGTAATTATGATTTCAGGGTAAAAAAAAAGTTTTTCTCTATCAAATGTCCCATAAAGGAGTTACGGAGATCAATGATAATAAAGAAAAAAAGAAAAAAATATATTAAAATAGATAATTATAAAATCACAATTAATTTATTTTTATATAATTATAATTTTTCGGATCATATTTTATTCGATACATTTCCAAATTTAATGTGTAGAACCAGGTCCACGGGCTCAAAAGCCATAGCAATCGAAAACCGTGAGACCCACGAATGATTTTATTATACTCTTTTTAAGATTAAGATAAGGATATGCTTCGTTGATTCCTTCTTTTTTTTTTTTTTAGGTTACTTAGAGAGAAAAATTAAGGTTTCAAATGCGGCACGCCCATGATATATTTTACAGTACCATATTATTATATACCGAAGTGGGTGGTTAAAATCTATTGAAAGATATTGAGCATAACGGTTTGCCTACATTCTTCTTGGTTTTTTTGTTCATAAAGCTAATTAATGCTGTCAAAGATTTTTTTTTCATAAACTTTTATGTTTGTTTTAATTTCCTTTTTATTTTTATTGTTTAGTAAATAATTTTATTTTTATTTTCATGCCCTTGGTCTCTACCGGTGGGAAAACACGGGGTTAATTTAAACCACAATTATTTAGGGGATAGGATTACCTTTTTTTTAATGGGATTAACTTGTACTAATGTAAAAATAATGAATTTTACATTCAATCTCAGTTGTTTATTTTCGTACATCAAATTATTATAATTTATTAAAAATTAATAATTAATTTATGATTACAACCAAATAAATTATAATCATTTGGTATATAAAATCAGCGATTATATTTCCAAAAAAAAAAAAAATCAGCGATTAAAATCAAATATAAAATTTATTCAGAAGATAGTAGAAAATTTTGTAAGATATTTTTACTCTGTTCGCAAGATTGATTTTCTGTTCCGGGATGGACAACTAACTTGCATTCTGCTAGAGCCATTAGATTTTGACAAAAAGAACCACATATGAACTTTGACAGCGAAAGTGTCAATAACTAACTCTTTTAAAAACTAAAGATGTTAGGTAAGGTCATGAATCATTTTATATCTAACAATACTATGTTTAAAATTGAGTCAATTCAATCTAACAAGAAAAATCACGTAAAAACTAATAGAAAATAAAAAATAATTAGAGATCGGTTTTCGGATCTAACTTTAAAAATTAATATATATATATATATATATATATATATATATATATATATATATATATATCTTTTAAAAAAAATATCTCACTTAAAAAATTCTCATAATACTCATACTTATTAAAGAATTTTTTATTATATCTTAAATCAAATTTAATTTTTTTCTTTTGAATTTGAACATATATATTGTAAGATTTTGAAAATAATTTTATACTTAAATTTAATATTGTAAGATTGAACATATATATATTTTGTTGAATTTGTTTGAACTTGTAGGAAATCTTAGATTTATGCGGAAGCGGTTTAGGACTTAGTACATTGGTATGCTTACCGAATCATCCTTGTTTCACAATTACCTCTCGATGCGCAGGTCTCGTGTAGAATCTTCACTTGCAGGATTCCTCTCCACGAACAGCTCACCTCAGCGCCGCAGCACGAACAACCTCCTTGAAGTTGGACTGTGGCAGATCTTCCAGACTATCTCTCGAGGAGGATGAGATGGTTGTGTGGGCAACCGTTCAGATGATGAACGTCTGCCTCTTGGGGTTTGTTTCTGATGATCTGTTCACCTTAGAGGCACAAGAGAAGAAAACTATGAATATATACGCTTAGGTCTTAGACATAACTCAACCCTAAGCCTCATGGGCTCAAGTTTCACTGAAGCCCAATAGGACTTTAGTGACCAAAAGAGCATATATCCAACAATCTCTCACTTGCTCTTTAAGATACAAACTTGAGTTCGTAAACCTAAGACCATGTAGCCCATAAGCTATCATCATCTGATAATATACCCCATCCCTTGTCTCGAGCTAGCCTAGGGACCTACCATTTGTCATTGATCAAGGCTCCTGATAATCTTTACAAGATTATCTAATTCGGCGCTACTCCACTAAAAGCCCGAACGTGAACTCCAAGATTAATGACCTTTATAACATTAATATGCATTGCTCCTTTATAGAATGTCTATAATTCATTGATTAGTTTTCTGTAACCCAATCAATTATTTATTCCCTTGACTTTGATAATTTCTCTAATGGATTACATGCACTGGCCAGTGTCTTTAATATCCAAGTACCGAAATATATCAAGGGGACATTTCCTACAAATTCCTTGTTGTTTATCTCATAAATACCGATAATCAAATAATCTCATTCCCAAAATACCGAGTTATTGGCCGTTAATAGATCGAACCTCACCCGTTGGTAAATCAAAGAATGAAAACTATTTGATTACCTATTTATAATAAACTCAGGATTAAGAGCAATCACATAACTATAGTTAACTGGAGATTTGATACCTTATGACAGAAAAGCAACCTTAATCAAATCTCTCCTTGATCCTTTCAATGTGAATGTTAATTCACACCAATATTTTACAATGATTCGGACAAAATCATTTCATAAAATATTGCAGCCTGAATAAAGTGCCCAACTTTATTTAACAGCTGTGCATCTTCCTCGCGATTTCTCGATCTTGAACTTTTACAAAATATTGAAAAAATACACAGAAATTCCAAAAATAAACAAAAACAGCAAGGAGGAAACCTAATCATATGGGATTAGCCTCCTTGTTACAAATCGAGAAATAAACGAGAGACCCTAACCATGGATTAAAGCATTTTTACCGATTAAAATTTAAACTTTTATGAAAATGAATTATAAAATACACATGCTAGATTCATACCATAATCCTAGAACCCTAGGTGCCACATTTCAAGAAGCAAAACTAATTACATGAATAGTGAAACTAGATTCACATACCAATGTACAGCCAAGGCTCTGATACC